TTAATTCAGGTTGTGAGGTTGATGTACACAAATTCGGGGCTAGCAGTGCTGGCTCTGGCTTCTAATGCTATTCACAAGCTCTGGAAGTGGCAGCGCAATGAACGCAATCCATCTGAAAGGTCAGAGCTAGAGTTCACTGTTCAGTGTTCATATTTTGATTTTGATTTATTATTAATAGGGATTGATTTCAGACTTTCCCTATATCTTGAAAATTACAAATTGGTGTTTGGATTTACCTAAAAAAAACACCCTATCAGGGATGCATTTGTTGCTTGAAGCGAATGTGGTGTTCGAAATTTTAGGATTTTTTTCTTACACAGGAAGGTAAAAGAAGAATGTATGTTGATAAAGATCGAGGAAAGAAAAGTTCAAACGATTGGATAGCAAAAGTTTTCTGATCTTTTTCTTTTTCAAACACAACTTGGCGGAAAATGAATTTCTCCAGAGAAATAAAAATGAGGATTTCTCATCTCAGCCCAATTATTCGGGTTTATAATATTATATACTTTTTTTATTAGATATATAAGTTTTTCAGCAGTTTCACGTTCTTTGTCATTAATCTCTAATCTAATATAAAATAATGTGATGTGTNNGACAACCAGCCCGCCATTGCCCTTGCAAAAAATCCAGTCCTCCATGACCGGAGCAAGCACATCGATACCCGTTTTCACTTCATCCGTGATTGTATCGATGAAGGACATATCGTTTTGGAGTTTGTCGAATCCGGACGGCAACTCGCAGACATCCTTACCAAACCACTCGGCCGTCTTCGGTTCATGTAGCTAAGGACCAAGATTGGAATAGTGGGAAACAAGCAAGAACAGCAGGATTAGGGGAAGAATTGTAAGAAATATAATCTACTGTATCATTGTTGTTTCCTTGCAATTGCAGTGCAATTTCCTTGCAGCTGCAAAGCATCTTCATAGCAGCCCCTTTAGGCTGAATTTTCAGCTTTAGTAATTTCTAGGAAAGTGTTGAATAGTAGCTTTTAGTTCCTATAAATAGGGATGTAGTTTTTCATTTGTAAAAACAACACAAAAAAACTTAATACTCAATACATTGAGTTATTCACAATCTTCTTCTTTCATCCTAAAAGTGTTCGTTTGTGTCGGAAGCATTTTTGCTTACTTGAGCAGTGAACGAGCGGGGTCTAACATAATTATTATTCTTTTTATCGCATTACTTCATGTTTAAAAAAAAAAAATAAATCATTAATTCTTCACCAGCTTTCTTTCACCTATCAAAATACTTCCCCACTAATTATCCTGCTGCACCTCTACTCTTTTTCCTTAACACTTTTCCATATAATACAAAAACCGAGGTTGCTGTTTTTCTTGACTACTACATTCAGTGAACTCAAATTTCCATGGAAAAAGGTTAAAACCAAGCTCAAGGGTCACCAGAAACTAATCTCAGGGCTCGCGTTTTCTCAGAGCTTAAATATATTGGTCTCCTCTGGAGCTGATGCACAGGCAAGTGTTCCAAGATCGAGACATTTTTTCTCACACACACAAGTTTATAAATAAATTGCATATTTTCTTATATGATTTCTTCTCAATGTCTACTGCAGCTCTGTGTTTGGAGTATTGATGGATGGGAGAAGAAGAAATCAAGGATCATTCAGGCCCCACCCGGTCAACTCGCTCCCCTGGTTGGGGAAACTAGAGTCCAATTCCATAACAATCAATCACATCTACTCGTTGTTCATGAAAGCCAAGTTGCTATATACGATTCCCAGCTTGAATGCTTGCGCGCGGTATGTGCCTTGTTTTTCGCCTTAATTTCCCTGCAAAATTATCCATTATATATATATATGTATATATATATATATTTTTTTTTTTCTGCTACCGGAGTTTATGTTGATAGGACAAATTTGGCGTTTTTCTTGTTATTGTTAATGAGTTTGTGATGCATTTATGCCCCCAAAGACATTATATTTTATTTAACAATTAAAATATTGCAGTGGTACCCGAGGGACTCACTTTCCTCGCCAGTTTCAAGTGCTATATACTCGTGTGACGGGCAGATGATTTTTACTGGATTTTGTGATGGTGCTGTTGGAATATTTGATTCGGACAGTTTGAACCTCCGGTGTCGAATAGCGCCATCTGCTTATATTCCGACATCCATTTCCAGGTAAGAAGATTGTTACGAGTATTAATGAGGGCGCAATTGGCTAATGAATATAACAGGCTTTGACTGACCGAATAATTTTTTTTACAATCTTTAACTGAAAATAAAATTCAAATTTAAAATAAAATAATAAAACAATACCAATCAATAATCCTCACACATCACATCAATTCATCCACTCATATAATACTTACCTATCATTTTCAATTAACCTCTCGTTTACTTTTACTGCACATCAACATAATTAATCATACAAGTTAAATATTATTATTACACAGACTCAATATCCCATTCAATCCTTCATTCAACCAATCCACTCAAGTTGGTTGGCTGGTAGGAATTTCTTAATTACTAAGAATTATACACTAAATAAAATTAAATGCAATATGTCAAAGCGATTGATTAAACAAATAAGAAAACTTTCAGTTCACGTTTCCGTCTACATCCTCAACCGACTCATCTAATCAATTCTGGTATCAAATCTCGTTATCTTATGAGATTGTTAACCCTAGCTAACAATTACTTTTAATTTAATCGTGAGACGCGCTAATATTAAACCTGATTTCTTGGACAGTCTAGAATACGCTCTCTTAGATTAATCAAATAGCCGCTTTAGGATCTAGAAAAACAAGCTAATCTAAGCAGTGAATCCAACCGCGTGGTTCACTTAATTAGGCCCCGACAGTTAACAACTTTCGATTACTACTTATGAATTAAACACAACAACAATTACTAATTGAAAATTACGGATTGAAGGTCTAATTCCAACTAATGAAAAATCTAATTTAGTGATCAGTCTAAATAAGACTTGATAAATCTTAGTTAATATTCTGAATAACACGCACAATTTAAAAAAGACAACTAAATTATCAACCACGAATATTAATTAAACATTGTCAAGTCGTAAGATCTCGACTTCCCCCGAACTAGAAATAAGAGTACTAGCCACGCATACTGTTCAAAAACATAATCTCAAATTAATTACACGATAAAGAAAACAAAAAGAAAAATTAATCTTCTCTGTTCTGTAGCGTGATGGTGCTCTTCAAGAATCTCTGTTCCCTTCTCCGCCAGGTCTTTTGTCAAAGTACTCAGCCGCACAGAAGTGTAAGTCCCCTTTTCCAAGCAAAAGTCTCCAAGTATATCCCTTAAGCAGGCCACGTCACTCTCTCTTTTATTTCCTAGTCAACATGGCAACCAAATAAAGTGGGCCTCCTTTTTGTCTTTTGTTTTACCTTCCTCTCTGAGCATCCCACGCTGCCCAATTATATTAATTCCCTACCATATTACGTGAAGTGCATGGGCTGTTGGGCCAGTATGTGGGTCAGTACGGGTCCCCCCGTACTCGCTGGTAACACTTCTTCATCCTTCTTTCGTATATCCACCCATCATCGTACTCTAGGAACATTCCCAAAAGATGATGGAAAATACTAAATTCCACATCAAGGCACGAGAATCGGTCATAATATCAAATATGTCGAAAAAGTGTATAAGTGCAAGGAATCAATCGGGCAAAATCACAATATTTGATAGTTAATACATGCACAATTTTCGACTAATCATAAAAAATTAACTCACTTTAACTAATGAACCCAATGGATTCAATCAAAACCCTTTTTTTTACGTCCAATCGCACCCTTACCCTTTCAAATTATATAAGAACAATCTTACTTACTCTACCTTTTCAAATTCTTAAATGTTGTTTTGTCTTGGGAATAAATTGTATCCAACTCCATTATAGTGTCATATTAATTTTGCTAATTTTTATCAAATACCCATTTTTTTTTTGGGTTTTAGTAGTGGAAATCCGTTCCCGGTGGTAATTGCAGCTCACCCATCAGACATCAATCAATTCGCGCTTGGCATGAGTGATGGTGGGGTCCACGTGATCGAGCCTTCGGATACAGAGGCCAAATGGGGTGGTGCTGGTGGGTCCACGTCACAGGAAAACGGGGCTTTGACTTCAGTTCCCTCGAGTTCTGCTTTAAATGCTCACCCGCCATCCGAAACTCCTTCCAGGTGAACACCAAACACATTACACTTCTTAAAAAAATATATAATTTCATGATGCGTTTTCTTGGCCCGACTGATGTAAAGTGTTTCAACAAGTGTCGTGTTTTTTACTTCGACCTTTGGAGTAAACTGTGGCGAGGTTTAGTTTTTTACGATAATTTGCCGGTTGGTTAGGCGCATAGGATTTTTGTCTGAACCATCTCTCATTGAATTTGTTTGTAAATTCAGTTTTCTATATTTTGTCTCCATCTTCATTTTTGGGTTTTATCAAATTGTAGCTGTTGCATTTTTCAAGCATTTCCTTCAAAATCATATAATTACATGCTCTGGAAAGAAAATTTTCATGCAGTATAGGCAAGAACATTATGGAACCAAACAAGAATCATGAAATACTTTTTTAGGACCTGCAGTTACTTTCCAACCCGGTTCGGGGAGGCCTAGCCCGGACACTGGGGAAGAAAGATAAATGTGAATTGAATAAAAAAAGGAAAAAAAAAAAAAAAACTCTTGAGTTGCACTGAACTGAGGTAAAATTTCAGGAAGACTCATTTTCTACCTAATAATGGATGAAAAAAAATAAAAGAATAAATGGAAACAACATCAAGTATATCTGAGGAACAAAATTTGCAGTATATATGGACATTCTCAACTCTCATGAGATTGGTCATGGCTTGGGTGGATCTGAAGGCTCCGGGTTGAGCATCGGTTCTACAGCCGACGATAGTTCTAAATGACAAATTCGAACTGCGCCAATTACACGTTCGGGCAACTCTTCTGGGGTGTTTCCCTGAGAACAATCGAGTTAAAACCCGTCTTGTAAGCAAACTGTTGATCAACTAAAAAACAATACGATTGTTAGGTAAAAAGTAGAAAAATGCATACAGTAGTCTCTATACGTTCTTTCCCAAGTTCACTCATAGGTCATTAGGAACGAATTTCGTATCTTGCAATAAATGTTTGACATGGCCGTACTGTTGTTAAGTTAAACGAGTCTGGCTTAGCTCGGCTCGAGCTCGAGCCCTTAACGAGCCTAGCCTGAGCTCATTTAAAGCTCATTTGGTTAATGAGACGAGTTCAGTTCGGCTCGATAAGGCTCGAAGAGAGAATTTTTAGATAATTTTCTATAGATTGACTCGTTAAACGAGATTAACTCGTTGCTCAAACTCAGTTCGCTGATATTGGTAAATGAGTAGTGAGCTCGATATCGATTTTTGGCTCGTTAAGGGCTCGAGCTCGCTGAGCTCATTTACAGGCCTACATATGGGGTATGTCTTAAAGTCGACTCTGCATACCTGCACGAGAAATGCCATGTCGACTACAAGTGTCTTAATGACGCCAATTACAAGCCCCAGAACTCCTTTTGCCACAGTAGACGAACCAATATCAACATCAACCTACCGAGAAACAAATCGTCGATGAGATAAATTTAGCGATCATCAAAATTCATCTTCGCTGTATACATTATGTTTGAGAGAATGTATATATGCAAAATCTTACTTCCAAGTAATTTGCACCACGGATGTAGTTGCAATCGACTGATTTTCCGAGCAAACAAGCCGAGCTTCCCACACTCTGGCGTACAATCCACGAGCCCTGAAATATTTGCACGTCGAAAGTTGATATTTCACGAAAAGGACTTCCTAATGAAGCATTTTTTTCACTTGTTTCGAAAATTTGAAAGGATCATACAAACAGGAAAAAAGAAGCAGAAAGGTACCTTTGGAACTGAGGGAATAAGCTTCAGTCTACTGTTGCGAAAATCATCATCGCCATCGACAAATCTTTGCAAAAGAGATCCCGATACTATTTCCTTAGCTACGAAATAGAAAACCATGCTGTAATGAGTCGAGCCCGGTATCTAGAAAAAACACAAATGCACGTTTTTTCGTAAGAATCTTCAGGCCACCATAGTTAAGAGTAGCTGAGAGACAAGTTCTCGACACGAAACGACTCACTTGCAGATTAAAAACGATGGAAAAAAGTCCTTTCTCGGACGCGACCTGAAAATATAATAACCAAAAAAAAAAATCAAATGTTTTTTTTTTCTTTCTTTTTTTAATTTTTTTTTTTTTTGAGAAGAAGCTCACTTGTGCTGCACAACCATTTCGCCTCGCCACGTGATCCATCCTCTTCGTATCTTTGAACCAGTCGACAGAAACAAGATCCATAAGATGCTTCCCGCCAGGAGTCTTCAAGTACGTGAAAAAACATGGCCGTAGGTAAAGATTTACTAAGGCCATCTTGAAAAAAAAAAAAAAGGTCTTTTATAAGCTTCTTTGAGAGCAAAGATTTCGAATATTTTACCTTCGATTTGTCCTGGCAGAAGTTCTTGCCACGAACTCTAAAGTTGTTCCCGTCAGATAACGTGTAACAGTCACGTGCATTATCTTGATCATCACGCCGGATATTACCCGAGAAAATCGACACGTCTACTTGCTCTTGAGGTTCTTCTTCAGAAGCTTCATATTTACCAAAACATTGCAGTTTAGTTTTTTTTTTTTTTCCTTTTTTTGTTCTTTTTTTTTTTCTTTCTTTCATTTTCACTGAATGAATGAGCAAAGTAAAGATATATCACACACCATTTCTTTTGTCTTCAACCTCAGCTGCAGATGTTGAAACCTGTATGTTCTCAGACGAAATAAACCGACCCCATTAATAGACATTTTCAGACAAGTTTTTGCACGAACTAAGAAAAAATAACTTGTGAAACGACTCATTTGAAACCGGTGAGAGTATGAAAAGAAAAATAGGCGTTTAGAGTCATAAACGAACGAACCTCTTGATCAGCACACTGGAAATCTTCATCCTCGTCGGAGTACTCATCCATCAACACAGAATGTCGATTTGCTGCATGCATTTGATCATCAACCGTGCCATTTTGGTGGTCAACCGAGGATAACCGCGGGCTTTGACTTTTTGAAGAATTGGATATCGATGTCATATTAATCATAACTGGGATCCTAGAAGCCACGGGTCTTTCATCGGTTTGTGAGAAATATTCACGTAATCCTGCAACAGCATAAACGAACATTCGAAATGGTTCAATCACTTGCTCAGGAAGAGAAAAAAACCGATTTTTTTTTTTTCAAAATAAATAACTTGTGTGTGTTCTTGCTAGAAGTATTTACTTTATAGATACAAAAACTCACCTGCAACGCTATTTAACATCTGGAGAAGACAGTGTTGCTGAAAAGAAGACATATAACCCACTCCCCAGCCTTTTAAATCGATTTGCATCAAGTGTTGAACTTGTGTTCTCGGGCTCCCACCACGAGGCTTCATAGGCGATATATTGAACCCTCCACCTGAAAATCGAGCGAAAAACAAACCATGAAAGGTTAATTTAAAACAGAA